TCTCAAATACACCAAAAGCGTGATCGATCGTTGGTTCAAAGACTTTATATTCGAAAAAGAAAAGTATAAGAGAAAAATCAACCAAACACTTTAGAAGAAATAACATTAGAAAAATTGTTCAATCAAATATTGAAAATATGATTCATGAAAAACCACAAGTGTCCGAAAATAAGGAGATTTCAATAAATTATATGTTATCTAATAAATTATGGGAACAAAATAATATTATTATAGAAAATATTTTCGCATTTAACGTGACTTTTGATATTATGCAAAATGAGAATCCCGAGCCACAGTCTGTTAAAGATTGTCACATAAAAATGATTGACCAAAGTGGAAAAAAGTCATACAGACGGAATTGAATTCTTTAGACCTATAATTCGAATATCTGAAAATGTCATCCTCATTGAATACAAATGAGTTTTTGTGCGAACGAGAAATAAAATAATGAAATTACAAGATATAAAACCCGACTTGTAGCTCAAGGTTTTTCACAAAAACTAGAAATTGATTATGAGGAAACATATTCTCCCGTAATGGACACCATCACTTTTAGATTTTTAGTTAGTTTGCATGTGTCATAAAGACTCAATATGCACCTTATGGATGTAGTAACTGCCTATATCTATGGTTCACTTGATAGTGACATATATATCTATGGTTCACTTGATAGTGTCATTAAAGGACTTAAAGTGCGAGAAACAAATGATACATGTCTGAGAATCATGTGCTCAATTAAATTACAAATATCATTATATGGATTGAAACAATTTGGACGCATGTGGTTTAATTGCCTCTGCGAATATTTGTTGAAGGAAGACTATAAAAATAATGATATTTGCCCATGTGTTTTCATAAAAAAATATATTGAATTTGCAATTGTGACAGTTTATGTTGAAGATTTAAATTTATTTGGAACTTCTGAAAATCTCAACAAATGAATTTGAGATGAAAGATTTGGGAAAAATCAAATTCTATCTTGGGTTGCATATTTAACATTTCCCAGAAGGATTATTTGTTTACCAATCACATATACAGAAAAAATCTTTAAAAACTTTTATATGGATAATGCACATTCATTGGCATCACCTATGGTTATTTGATCATTTGATGTGAAAAGGGATCATTTTCATTTACTTGAAGATGGAGAAAATGTTCTTGGTCCTGAATTATCATATTATGGTGCAATTGGAATATTAACTTATCTTGTAAACTGTACTCGACCTGACATAACTTTTTCTGTAAATCTTCTTACAAAATATATCTCTACACCAACACAAAGATATTGAAATTGTGTTAAATATATTTTTCGTTACCTAAAGGGTACTATTGATTTGAGATTATTTTATTCTCAAAAGTCGGGATCTGTTTTAGTTGGACAAGCAGATGCAGGTTATCTCTCTAATCCACATAAAACTAAATCATAAACAGGATACGTGTTTACACGTAGATGAACGACTATATCATGGAAATCTGTGAATGAATCATTGATAGCAACATTCTCAGATCATTTTGAAATTATTGCAATCCATAAAGTAGGCTAAGAATGTGTATGGTTGAAGAAGATGACCCATCATATCTAAGCATCATGCAGATTAATTTTAACAAAAGACAGTCCAACAATTTTGTATGAAAACAATGATACTTGTATTGCAAAACTCAAATGAGGTTATATGAAATGTAATAAGACGAAGCATATTTTTCGAAAATTCTTTTATACATATGGGTTTCAGAAGAATTGCTATATCAATGTTCAACAAATTTATTCAAGAGACAATGTGGCAGATTTATTTACAAAAGCACGTCAACATCTGCATTCAAGAAATTTGTTCATAAGATTGGAATGTGTCGACTTAAAGATTTTAAGGATCAACATCAAGGGGAATAGTTGTATTCTTTTTCTTTTGCTTAAATTTTATCCCACTGGATTTTTCTAACAAAGTTTTAATTAGACGACATTTATTTTTAATACTTCAAAATAATTACACTCTTTTTCCCTCGTTTGATTTTTTGTCCCATGAATTTTTATCAAGCAAGATTTTAATGAGACAGTTATTGTACAAATAATCATCGAATGAGAGTGTTGTAAAATAATGAGATAATTATTTAGTGTTATCATGATTCGTAGATAAGTCTTATCTAGAGTAGAAGTCTATTCCATTCCAATTGTAACTCTCATTTTAAATCCTATAAAAACAGGTGATGATTCTTAATAAAAGACACTTGAATTTTAACACTTATATTTTCTTATCTTCTTGTTCTATTATTTTTATTTCATAAAAAATCGCAGTTTTTTTTACGTTTTGAGTGTTTTCAATGAAATAAAATTATAAAAACATTTAAAAAGCATAAAATTTATAAGAGTAAAAAATAAAAATAGGCCAAGCTCTTAATAATTATTTACAAAAAAAATTAAAAGAAAATTTAAAAGAAATAGATAAAAATATTCTCAATTCACATATTGAACTCAATTTATTATTTATTTTTATTTTACTTTTGTAATTAGAAAAAATATTGTAAGATCCACCAATTTTAAAATTTATATATTACTTGATAATATATTAAAATAAAATTATTCTATTTTTACTAAATAATCAAATTTATGAAATAAAATGTCATAAAACAACTTTTTAAAATTTCAAATCAAATGTATTTTTTAATTTTTAGTTTTGAGAAATAATTTTTCAAAATGACAAATTAAATGCATTTTAGCAATCTTAAAATAAATCCTCACAACAAAAAACTTTTCAAAATTTGAAATCAAACGTATTTTCTAATTTTCAATCCCGAGAAGTAATTTTTTAAAATGCCAAATCAAATGCATTTTTAATAATCTTAAAATAAATTCTCAAAACAAAAAATTTTTCAAAATTTCAAATTAACCGTATTTTATAATTTTCAGTTTTGAGAAATAATTTTTCAAAATGATAAATCAAACTCATTTTTAACAATCTTAAAATAAATCCTCAAAACAAAAAAATTAAAAATGAGTTCGAAGTTGAAAATTGAAACACGCATCCACAATACACTAAAAGAGGAACGAAAAATCTGTAAATTGACCTCGTCATCTTGGCCTGTCAAAAAAATTTTCCATCAATCTTTATGGGGGAACAGTGCCATCACTGTTGTGAAGGTATGAAATCACATTTTCTCCAATCATACTTCATGTACAAGGTGGGGGTTTGTGAACCCCCCACTTATAACACACGGGGTGAGAAAGTAAATTCTTTAACTTTTTTATTGAGTGGTTCTAGTGTGGGACCCATCTCATGTGAGAAGGCGTAGGCTTGTACATCTGGCTTAATTCCATTCTCTCCATCTTTTGTTACTACTTCCCATCATCTACTTCGAGTCTGAACAAAGAAAGTCCAAGAAAAACTAGAAGAAGAAAATTTATAATTAGAGGTAATTCTTCTTCTTAATTTTTGTTCTATTTCTGCAAATCATTTTCATGGGGCCTTCTGCATTTTTATTATCCCTTTTATTTCCTTGTTTTTTCTGCACTTTGTTTTATGGGTTTCTAATTACTTACTTTCTTTTGTTTATATGTTACAGTTCCAACCGGATTTCTTCTTTTTCGCTCAATTTTATGCAAAAAGGAAAACAATGCCATTATATGCGCGTTTCCATTTTTCCCCCCCAACATTTGAGTAATTCACACACAAAAAGAAAAATAAAAATTAAAGTGAAAGAATCTCTTTTGTGGATAAAGTAGGAGCACCAATTTCATAGAATACTTGATCAGGAAGTTGTAGGACCAAGAGCAACGTGTTAGGAAAATACAAAAGGAAATTAGGAATACTGTTGAAATTATAAAATAATGGAAAGAAACGTTACAACAAACAAGTAACAATAAAAGAGATGAAATATGGTTGTTGATGTAATAGTAGCATTGAAAAGAACCGAGACTTCTATTGCACACAGTTTCCTTAAAACATATTCGCCCTCCACACTGTGGTGCAAAAGGACTGATGGCTTCTATCTTCTAGAATACAACGATGGAAATTAGCTAACTAGCACTTCGTCTACTTTAGGTGAATCGAGATTGCTCACACACCAGAAAAGTCTTTTGCAACGGTCAAAAAACATTGTCAAAATCCCTTTGCAGCGTTTGGGCATATGTTGAGGGCTTTGACATTATTGTAGAGGAGAAGGGTATGACAACGTTCGAAGACAGTTGCAAAAAGTTTTTTTGGAACGTTTGTTGCACGTTGCCGTTAAAGTTTTAGCAACGTTCGTTATGTGTTGCCATTGATGTTTAGCAACGTTCAATGCGTGTTGCCATTGATGTTTAGCAACGTTCAATGCGTGTTGCCATTGATGTTTTAGCAACATTCATTGCCTGTTGTCTTTGATGTTTTAACAATTTTCGTTGCCCGTTGTCGTTTCCTACCAACTTAAACAAAAAAAAAAAAAATTATTTCATATTTTGCTATATTTATATATGTAATTTTATATAAAAAATCATAGTAATATATTTTTAAAATGTTTACAAAGCAATAATCAAGGCGATATCAATGAGAACTTTATGAATGAGTTCCCCTAATAAAAAATAAAAGAAACAATGTGCTACTTGTTGACTAAGTAACGATATAATGAACATCACCAGCTTTCATAAACAGCACCGGTGTCAATTTAACATTAGGGACCATGTTATAATCTAACGTCTTCGTCATTATATATGTTCCGCCCACTTGTTGACTAACATGTCGATATCTTCCCTATCTATTTTTTCTTCTTTGCCAGTATACCTCCATGACTTGGAGCCTGCAGCACAGCAGTGGACCATCATAACTTCAAGCTTCAAGTTCTCGGGGTAGCATCATAGCATTGCCAAAATAACTTTGACTCTTCGAGCAGCTCAAGGATGATGTGTTCTAGGGCACTAACTGATGGCAAAATAACTCGATTAGAAATGCCAAACCTTTTATAGCATTCGATCACTATCATTTGCGTGATCTAACCCATGAGCACAATAGCGGCATCAAGTCGCAGCAAATTCAAAATTTAGGCACAGGTTGATCCTCATCCAATGGTGATGCCAAAATCCAGTCTCCATTTTCATCAAGAACAATCCTTTTATTCTTCTCAATCCACCATGAACCTGGAATCAAATACTCATCCTTTAAAATAGTACTGTACTTATTCACCAAAGACAAACTCCTTTTCACTTTTAGTTCAAATTCTCCTTCACCATGAACCTGGAATCAAATACAGGCATCTATATGTACAATAATCTAATAAAGGTGTCTAAAGCTAAAGTGGCCATCATTCATTAACCTCTTTTTCCCAGGAAACCTTTAGCTCAAACTCAGGAAAACTTTACCTCAGACGTCAGCGGAGCCAGAAAGATATGTTAGGCTGTGCTGAATTTTTTTTTTTCAATGAACTTGTAACATAAATGATGCTCTAAACCATATGAGATTTAGTTTAAAAGGTTAAATTCATAACTCTCATAATAATGTGGGTCATAATCAATGTTGTCAAAACCGGCTCGACCAGGTCGGTTCGACATGTAAAATCGGGAACCGGACCCAAAATCGGGCCAATTTTTGCTCGGTTAATTTATTATGACAAACCACTCAAAACCTACTGAACCAGCCCGTTCAACCGTAAATCGGTGAACTGGTTGCGGTTTTTTGGTTTCATGATTTTTTTTTTTTTTAGTTTAAAATTTTTTAACTTCATGAACGGACCTCATAAATTACAATTCAAAGAGACCTATAGAGAAATATTGGATGACATTCTCATTTTATAGATGCACTTCTCTAAAATAGTTTCATAAACTTTCAGTGTGGGATAGTGCCTTTTATAGATGTTCTTCTCTACAATGATTTCATAAACTTCCAATGTTAGATAGTGGCATAACAAAAAAATGTTAAAATGCCCATCAAAATTATTTTCCAAATATATGTCTAACTGACTAATTTGATTTGAATCCCAACTAAATAAATTGTAATATTCACCTTCATCATTTCATTTATTTAATTTTCAAATTTAACTTAAATTGCACTTGATTATTAATATATTAATGTTAGATATCATTTTCTGTAAGCTTAAACTATTTTAATATATTGATTTTTAATTTTTGAAGTATCGAGACTAATTGTAGGATAATGGATCTAATTAACAAAAATGATTTACTTTGAATTATTTAAATGAAAATTAAAAAAAAAAATTGTTTTCATAGTATTTTATTATTTTTGTATGTATTTATTGCATTCGTTTTGATCCGATTCGACCTCGATTGAACCTTTTGACTCTTGTCCCTTCACCTTTTCCAGGTCAATGATTGGGTCGATTTTTAAAACATTGGTCATAATATATTTTGAACACTCGTAACAAAGTTCTAAAAAATATATTTTTAACCAATAAAACTAAATATATAGCATATTATTTATTTTGACAATAACATCCATTTCATAGTCGAAATAAATAATTTTTTAACTCACAAGTATAAATAAGTAATATATGAAAAAAAATATATTAGAAAAAATTTAATTACTTTTAAGTTTGGTCAAACATTTGGCATTTTAAATTGTTCAAGCAAGTCATTTATCTTTAATCAATAAAAATTATTTGTTATATAATAAACTAATTTGATTATAAGTGAACTTTTTAAACTTAGTTATATATGTTGTGTGAAATAAAATATTTAATTTGGTAACGAGTTATTTGTGTTTCATGAATATGAATAAAATAAATATGTAATTGTTGGAGAGTTTTAAACAAAATTTGAATTATTAAACATTTGACTTGGGTTGTAAATGAAGTTGGGTTAAAATTGATTTTTGGGTTGTGCTAATTTTATTCTTTTTTTAATTTTTTACCATGAATTTGCTTCTGCGTTGGGGAATTAATTTTCGGACTAGGCTAATTTTATTCTTTTTAGTTTTTCACCTTGATTTTGCTTCTGGGCTGGAGGCAAGGCTGTGCTATAGCCCATCCCAGACCTCCTCTCCCTCCGCCCCGCTCAGAGATCAATATAAATCTCAAAGTCATCTAAATAAAACTCCTGCAAAGGCATACAAGAGAATTTGTGACAGGTTACCTGTGAACTAGTACTATGTTGTATTGCATCATTTCTAGATCCATCTGCATCCTTTGCTTATGCCTTGGTGTCACCCTGTGGAAAAATTGAGTCAAAATATCAAGCTATCGAGTGAAATGAGCCAATATATAGACCATCGAATCATAAAGAAAAATTCATATTCACTCAATCTGTTGTGCCATGAGAAATCAAAAACATCGAAAGCAACAAAACAAAGACATCAATTGCAATACTTAGCAATATCTAAAGAAAAATTAAGCAGTATAATTTAGACCACGGGCAAGAGCAAGTCTTTATTTTAATAAAATGGGAAGCACCATCTCTCGGTACCTGCCAAGTACACCTTGAGTGGATCGATGTAATCTTCGAACCAAAAAGTCACCATTGCCCACAACAATCATCCCCATTAATTGTCTTTCTTTTCTCTTTCGGGCACTTGTCCCTTGCCCTTGACATTTAGACAACCAAAATAGTTTCAATTACTCGCACACATTCAACACTTAATAAATGCTTCCAAAACAGATATGAAAATTGAATTTGCAATTGATCTCATTCCACATAAAAACAAATTACAGCAAAGTCACTCATAAAAAGACAACACAACCCATGGATGCATGCACATATACAATATATAGTTTTGTGTCTATGTATAACATATACAGGTTCAGAGGAATATGCTCAAGTGTGCTGTTTAAATTGATCTCGCTCCTTCGGGGTTTCTATGCAAACACGAATGCAATTAAAAAATGAAAAAATCATGGCAAACCTTTTCCACTCCAATCGTGAATCTCCGATTTTCTCCTTTACTCAATCGAGTATTCATACAAAACCCAAAAGGATAAAGAAAAGGAAAACGTAATCACACAATGAGCCTAACAGCATACTCGTTGGTGATGAAGCTAATGAACTCAAAGATCAAATTGGGGTTTCATCTTAAAAGGTAAGATGAGTAACCCAAATTCTTATAAATTGATCTATATTTTCATTTTTATTCAACGTGCAATTTTATCCCTTAACAAGATACATTCTTGAACGGTCTCTGATAAGTGTATTTTATACACTTATTTGGGGTATAAAATAGCGATCTTTGATAGTTTCTCTAACAAAATATATCTTAAATTGTTGTATTTTATGTTATATACATAAAATTCAATGGTTGAACGATGAATGGAAAGAAAGAAACGAAAATTGGTGAAAATGGTAAAATTCAAAATTTGAGGACCAAATTGCAAATTTAATAGTTGATTTGGAACACGAGATGATACTTTGAAAATTGTTAGGGAACAATTGGATGGAATTAGAACTCAAAAAGGAATGGAATATGATCAAAATAAATTTCCCATCGCATAAGTTATATTCCGAATTTTTAGCGGAATATTGAAACCCATTTTTGGAATAGTAAACGTCCGAATTGGAAATATTCTATTTATATCAAAATTCTAGTCCTTTGAGTTATCTTTCCAACTCATTTTGAATTGCTTCAATCGAATATCGGAAGAGAAAGTTATGACCAAAATACTGATTGTTATGCAGAGATAAAAAAATCTGCACGCGAAGATAACTTTCCTTACTCAATTAGAACTCTTTTGGAAACCAAATTGGACGTGATTTTCAACCAATTTTCGACTCTTACAAATACATAATAGTAGAATACATGTGTGAGACATCTCATATACATATTATACTCCAATATTCATCAATTATTATCATCAAAGGAAGAGAATTCGTAATTTTTGTGAGAGAACTAAAGATAATTTGCAAGAATTCAATCAATGGAATATTCAAACCTAATTTTTGGGCAAAANCATCTTCTCAATTTATCAAAAATTCGAGTTATGTCTTTTCACTTAAACATGATTTCTTATGATTTTGATATGTTAAGCTAATTTTATACATTGTTAGGATGAGTTGAATCCTTATTATGATATTTTTAGTTTTTAATTAATTATTTTGACTTTAATTTGATTTGATTTGATATGTGGATGTTTATTTTCGTTTTATCGTTCTTTTCAATAGCTTGATCATCAATTGAATTGTTAGTGGATTTTATTGTTATCGAGAGAGACAATAAGGTTGAAGCACATTATAATAAACATTGTAAAGTTCGATAGGGGATAGAGATATACCTCTATGCTTTAATATAGTTTCAATAGGTGTTCTAGTACTTGTTAATACATTTATCATGTTTCCGTCTTTCATCGAAAGATAGAATGATCACATGAGAGGAATATATTTGATCTCTATCGAGAGAGACTTTCAATTAAATTAGGAACATTGACCAACATGAATGATTTCAAATTGTCAATTTATTTGTTACGCTAAAAATGGAATAATAAGGAGGATTCGACATCTTAGCAATGCATCTCACATATTTGAAAAACACATTTGCTTACTTTCTAGTTTAATTGATAATTTAGATATCAGTATAGAAAACTCGAAATCTAATTGCTCTTCGATTAAAGTTGAAATTAATTTTAACCCGATCAAACGCGTAGTCATCGTGGGTTCGACACTCTATTCACTACTTTAGTAGACCATGATCACGTGCACTTGCGGGTATTCAAACGATCAAATTTTTGGTGTCGTTGTCGGGGACTATTGTATTTAATTATTTTTAATTAATTTTAACTTTAATTTGAATTTTTATTGCTTATTTATTTTTAATTTGATTACTACTTTAATTAGTTTTAGTTTTAACAATTTTTTTTTACTTTTCTTTTTATATCGTTTAACTAATCCGCTACAGTTTTAATCTTTTTTTTTTTTTGGTATTCTCTCTTTGCACGTTTCATATATTTATGTATGATTCTGACATTAGTAAAATAATAAAATTATTCCAATGACAAATCTCTAAGTGTTAAAATTCACTGGGATTTCGTGAGATGCACGACCCTAGGTTAAGGCACAATTCGTAACCACAAGATATTGGAGAAGTAACAATGGGGAAACATGGGGGAATTTAATATTCAGGATCAAAATAACAGGAGGTAAAAGGGTTAGGATTTTTTTAACCAATCAGTTTCGAAGAAAGACAATCAATATTCCCAGTGGTACTGCAGGACAACCAGCTTGAAGCCAAGAATTGGAGATCGTTCATCAAGAACCAGTCAATAATCACCGATGGATCAATTTCCCTCAAGAAATCACAAATAGAAACCAAGATTAGTAAAAAAATAAAAAATAAAAATCTAGGGTTTCACGGATTTCACAATCGATTCAGTTTGTCGCCTGAAAATTAATTTTATAGTGACAAAAAACTCAATCGAAGCCTCGTTATCTGTTCACACAGGCTCTGATACCACTTTTAGAGCCAAATAACAACAGAAGCAAAAAAACAGCTATCGCGAAGAATACCTAAAATCCAACAACATCAAGGGATTGATTATTACATAGGGCTCAGAACAAAAATTGTACCCTTCTGAACAAGGAGATAGCCACAAAGACTGAAACCCTAAAGAAAACTGAACTACAACAGCTACTACAATGGACCAAGATTAAACAACTGATCAAACACCTCAAAACCCTCAATCGAAGACTAACAAATAATCAAATCACAAAGATCTAAGAACAAAACCAGAAGTTTTGATCTATACATAAAGAATCAAAAGAGGGAATGAAGAGACAAAATCACAAAGAACCCGAAAGCTTCGAACAGAAAAATAGAATGAATAATGCATCTCAAAATGACTGTCCAAGCTCCATAAATACATAAATCCACCACCGTTGATCAAGCCAAAGATCAAGGGACCAAAGCAGCACACACGTCAGTTTAAATGGATTGCGTATTAGGCCAATTTCTTGTGTTATCGGGCAATGGTTAAAATATTCCAGCAAATGGGTCAAGTCTAGTTTTATCATTGCCCAGCGGACCATGGCATCATAGCCCATCAGTGATTAAGGGCATAAGGAACTATAATTTGTGATGATTATTATAACACTTGATTATATACCACATTTTCAAGTACAATGAATAATTATAGAGAAAACATTCTAAGATGAGCTTTTAAGTGAATGAGAGCTTAGCAATTGCAGAAACTTGAGGGGCAAAATTCTGGTATATTAGTCTTTTGGTACTAGTTAATTGTCATTTATGTAGAACTTAACAAGAAAAGGGAGCAAAACTAGAAATAATAATAAAAAAGCCTTGCAATTTACCTTCTGCATTTCTTGAAAATAGTGATTTACTATGATGCTATTGGTAAAACTACACATTTTATATTTTTCCTATCTTTTTTTGGAAGTTGCACAATTGGATGACTCAGATAATCTAGTTGCAGACAATAAGATTAAGAAAGTAAAAGAAAATGCCCTAAACATAAAAAGAAGGGAGTTAATAAGAGGTTGTTCTCTTCGTGTTTCAGTTTTTAGTTTTGAATTTTGAATTCATTATGAGTTTTGTATTTTGAGTGTCTATTTTGAGATTGCTGAAAACGCGTTCTTTTTGTCATATTGAAAAATTATTTTCAAAAATAAAAAAAATTAAGTTTTGATTTGATTTTAACTGAAAACAGCCAAAACGACTTTTTGGCGTTTTCCGTTTTCTTTATAAATTTTAAACTTGTTTTTGAAAATTCGTTTATGAAAATAGATAAGTAAATGTGTTTTTAGTGTTTTCAAAAACTGAAAACTACAAATGCTCTAAAAATAACAAAGAGAACATGCCTTAAACCTTGGGTTTACTTTACGTTGATGATTTGGAATCTTCATTAATTTATTTTCTTCTTTTGACTTTTGCAATATACTTTATGATCCCTGCTTGTATTTGACTCTTCCCAAAATTCGATTCCGATTGCCTGGGTCATTACCCCCAGTTCACCTAGTCAACGTATTCACAAATGGATGTCGACTCTTGTTGAAAAAACACCAAAAGAACCTAAGGAGGAGGTCTTGTGCAGTTCTAGTGGATGATCCTTCTATTGAGGCTTCAATTATAAGGTACATTGTGCAGTTTGATTCTTTGGTGTTATATTTCCATAGTTGTGGATTTGAAACTGGAAAATTGCTATTATGATGGTTGTCACTTGTAGAGACGCTTTCCAATGCCGCATTCTATTATCCCTTTGACATTTGCGTTTTAGATGGTTGAAAAGCCTTTTGAAAAATTGTTGCAATTTTGATGTGCAGAGGGAAATAAGCACGTAGGCAAGATTTTGTACTGCTCGAAAAGTGGAGAAAATGTGGTTGATTCTGTTGAAGAGTTCATGCACATTTATGTCAATCAATATGCATTTATAGAACAGTTTAGAAGCAAAGTGTGGCCAAAGATAGGTACGGTCGAGTCTCTTAAGTTTTCTTATTTCTGGCGAGGAAACTTTGAGTTCTTTTGCTTGTTCCAAGAAACTCTTCAATATTTTAATAACTGCATATCTTTTATTTTCATCTTCGGTTAAAGTGTTGCTTGATAGTATGTCTGTGCATGAATATGCAAATTCTCATCAGAGACTTGACTTCTTGATCCACAGATTAACACCTCAATTTTACTCCTTGTATTGGTTTGACCAATATATTGTAGAGATTGGACATTTTGAAAATCTAAGGAATATGTATATCTCAACCAACTTTTGGTATCCGGCTATGCACATCCCTAACGTGGATGTCCTACTGGATGAGGAAAATCTCGAGTTTGCAAAGGTTGTTTCTCAAGCAGATAGTACTGTGGCATATACAATTTGGAATCGGGAGTTTGCACTCTCTGATTACTTGTGGTCGAAGGTGGGCAATATTTGTAAGCACGTGATTCAGGTAGCAATCCTCTGAAGAAGTCGACAGGTGCCAAGGCCATTATTGGCCGCTTAACTTTTTAGATAGGTTTTGCTTAGCCTCCTAGAAAATATGCCGGATGATTTTCTAGTTTTTGAACATACCATACCCATGTGACACGGTTACAACATGACATCAAAAGCTTGGTGGAATTGTCAAATATTAGATTACTGCAGCCATTACCTTTTGATACAAACTTTCAAATGCCAGAAAATCTCCAACCTTTCCCTCGACTTCATTAATTTACGCTCTATGTCTGGCCTTGCATCATGAGGATCCCTGAAAATGTCCATGTTGAAAGGGGTGGAGCCAGGAATGAATGGTGCGGGGGCAAAATTTTTTAAAATTTAATGTACGAATAAAATTTATATATTACAAGAAAAATTGTAATATAATGTTACCTATTACAGTTATACTCGACGATGTTTTATAGCATAAAATTCATCTATAATAGAATCTAGATCTAAATTCTTACTAAATTCTCGTTCAATGTTTAGTGTTAAACAATCAGCAAGAAAATCATCATCCATTCTATTACGAATCTCTGTCTTCACATGTTTCATTGCTGAAAATGCTCATTCCATTGTCGCTGTTGAAACCGGTAGTGTCAGTACTAAATTCTCGTTCAATGTTTAGTGTTAAACAATCGGTAAGAAAACCATCATTCATTGATACTCTTAGGAGATGATGTAATCATATTAATAACACCGTCCAAATAAAAAAAATGCCACTCACTAAATAGTCATGATAAGGTTAATAACTGTACTTGTTGAATCCTTAGTCATCTATGTCTATGGTTCATGTCCTTATGGATCTTTGGTTATTGTTCCCAGCTTCTAGAATGGAATAACGATGAAAAACATGAGCCAGAGTTTATTAAGGAGAAGTGTGAAATAAAAGACGTCCTTGAGGACTTAGACTCTTGCATGAAGAATTCTTTTGACGTGAAAGAGAGAAAAGCATTTCTCAAGAAAATTGGAATTCTTAGGAGCCAATTCAAGTCATGTGCTGAAACACCAGCAAACAAATCAACTGACAGGCTTAGATCCTCTTTGTTGTTGCAATCTATCTAGTTGAGGAGAAGCAACACATAAGCTCGAGGTAATAATGAGGAAGAATTCGAGAAGGAAAGAGTAAGGTGGATAGAAATGGAGAGTGAGTGGATTTCATTGACTGATGAATTGAGAATTGATCTTGAGTCCATCTATCAATGAGCAGAAAAGGTGGAGATGGAATTGAGAACAGAGAAGAAGTGCACAGAGGAATTTGATGATGTACTAAAAAGATCTGTTCTTGGGCATGCTAGACACAATCGCTGAAGCTGTTTCCTCAGCTTCTCTCAACCTAACAAGAAGTTTACCTGCAGTATGTACAGCTTCTGCTGTGTCTTTAAGCTGAATTTTAAGACTTTGATTCTCCTTCTTCAGTAAATCCCTTTCCCTCTCTCTTTCCACCCTAAAAGTGGAAAGTCTGCCGCAATGGACTTGGCAAAACGAGAGCCATGACCTTTCTTTCATGTTTTTTTAGCTGCCCTTTTCACCTCTACTATCCCTTTCATAATTGGGTTTTCAATTGGGCTACTGCCTACTGGGCTTGAATAGTGGGCTACAACTAATTTACCTATATTTTTAATGCATTCGGGCTTGGACTACACTGGGCTACAACCCAGTGTAGCCCACCACTAGATCCGCCCATATTGTTGAAGCACAATATTTCTGCATCCTATGTCTTTAACCTATTGCCCGATAGAATATTGTTCTTAGGTATTATTGACTGATGAATTGAGAATTGATCTTGAGTCCATCTATCAATGAGCAGAAAAGGTGGAGATGGAATTGAGAACAGAGAAGAAGTGCACAGAGGAATTTGATGATGTACTAAAAAAATCTATTCTTGGGCATGCTAGACACAATCGCTGAAGCTGTTTCCTCAGCTTCTCTCAACCTAACAAGAAGTTTACCTGTAGTATGTACAGCTTCTGCTGTGTCTTTAAGTTGAATTTTAAGACTTTGATTCTCCTTCTTTAGTAAATCCCTTTCCCTCTCTCTTTCCACCCTAAAAGTGGAAAGTCTGCCGCAATGGACTTGGCAAAATGAGAGCCATGACCTTTCTTTCATGTTTTTTTAGCTGCCATTTTCACCTCTACTATCCCTTTCATAATTGGGTTTTCAATTGGGCTACTGCCTACTGGGCTTGAATAGTGGGCTACAACTAATTTACCTATATTTTTAATGCATTTGGGCTTGGACTACACTGGGCTACAACCCAGTGTAGCCCACCACTAGATCCGCCCATATTGTTGAAGCACAATATTTCTGCATCCTATGTCTTTAACCTATTGCCTGATAGAATATTGTTCTTAGGTATTAAAGAGGAAGCTGGTTATCAACCTTTCATATTGTGCAGAATGGGACCCCACGAGGGCCATGCGATGATGTAATGAATATTTGAATGATTTTGATTGCTAAGGATTGATTGTACAACTATAATGGAAGGTTGATGACTTGTTTGTTGGACTTGGATCGAGGACCAACTTGCTACTTGGGCAATATTTCAGGTACCAGTGGTACATTCTTCCCACATTTAGTCTTTAGATTTCAAAAGGTGCTTAGATTGGTAGATTCCAGGTGCTTTCGTGAATCTTGAGTTCTTTAAAGTAGAGGTATGTTATTTTCAGTTACCATGCTAGCATATACTCCTAATTGATATTTTTGCAATTAATGTTGTTACCTAATTATTGGTGCTTCAACGTTTTTCAAGCTTGCATACAAACTTTTTCGTGAAATTTATCCTGGTTTTGAAGAGCCTGTTTTTGTGAATGTTCGTTTATCTTGTTTAGGCTTGCCTCCACTACTGATCTTAGCTACCAATTCCCCATCAGAGTGTACTTGTTGCATATAAGTTCAAAGATTTCATGGATTTTCTTCTCTGCTTTTCATATGCTCTTAGATTTCCTGTTGTATCAAACATATTCTTAGTCCTTGAATGACATCTTAGATCAGACCACTAGTTCCAATATTTACCAATTTTCTGATTTTTTGTTGGATGTGTATAGGGGCAGAGCCAGAAGGATACGTTAGGGTAGACTGAAATTTAATTTCTTTTTTTTCAATGAACTCATACCATAAAAGATATTTTATACCACTCGAGATTTAGTTTAAAATGTTAAATTCATAACACTCATAATAATGTGGGTCAGAATATATTTTGGGACACTCATAACAAAATTCTAACAAATAAATAAAATTTAATATAGAGCATATTACTTATTTTGATGATAAAATCAATATCATGGTCGAAATAAATAAATTCTTAACTCACAAGTATAAAAAAATAATATATGAAAAATACATTAAAAAATAATTTAATTACTTTTAAACTTAGTCAAACATGTGACATTTCATACTGTTCAAGTATGTCATTTGTCTTCAATCAATAAAAAATATATATTATATAATAAACTAATTTGATTATAAGTGAACTCTTTAAACTTAATTATATATGTGTGTGCGAAATAAAATACATAATGTGGTAACGAGTTATTTGTGTATCATAAATATGAATAAAATAAATATGTAATT